GGGCTGACAATTTGACATGAAAACGTCGCAGAGTAGGGTAACCCGCCTAGTTTGGGTCGTGTTCATGTTACAAAAGAAACAAATAAGCGAACCTGGTGTGTTTTAGTACTTTGTACATTTCCTAGCCGTCCTAATCAGAACTAAAACGACAAAACATCAACTTCTACTTCGACATCAATTTATAATTATTCACGTTTTTACTTTGAACTTATTACTACGTTCACATGTTATGCCGAAGTGAAGACGTCGTACCGTTAGAAACGGCTAACGCTTCGAGCCATTATCGAAAATCTTAGAGGATAGTAGGTTACGTTTTTTCGGTAACGTTTTACTACTCGTCGCGGTAGAGACATCTTAACTCCTACAAGCGTGACAGCAACCTTGAGAATCTTCACCGTGGCATCCCGGGGTAGTAAAATTGTATGTAAACGCAGGCTATTTTTGCACCATGGTTAGGCGGGTTACCTCACTCACCTAGGGTCATCCACTTCCATGTAAACTAGCTCTTAATGGATATCAACAGTGGTAGCTTATGTTGATATATATGGCAAATATTTCTGCGACAACTAAGAAAATGTCCACTCTCTTTGGCTACGTTTTCTACTGTTAGTGGAGTTCATTCTTGACTGAACTCTGCTCAAATTGGAGAAAGTGAACACAGAAGCAGAAAATATTTTTCGGAACCAACCGCTAAAGGTTTCGCATTAGCCGCAAACGTATTTGTCACATCTGTCGATATACTTTCGCCAATAGTACAAAGCTGACATGGAATCAATACTTAACTCAGGATTAACATGCCACTGTGCTGACGCAATCTGTTGTTTTAAGCAAATAACAAATCGATGATTTCTTCTGTAACAGGTTGAAGCCGTACACCCTGACCCGACTCACCCGACTCTCTTGAAATTATCCACCAGTCTATCTCCCTTTCTTTCTCTCTCTTTCTTTCTCCTCCTCCCCCCGCTGGCTAAGTAAACATGCATCAGTGTTGTGTTACACGCGTGAGTCTGGCCGGTATGAATTAGCAAATTGAGAAATAAACCCCCAAAAACTCAAACTGAACATCACAATACAAGAACCAAGCCAATTCACTAAGACACAAACTTTTTCAGAATAATTCTATAAGTTTCTATAAATTATATTTGGTTAACTCCTGCCAACGCGAAATTGAAACAATCACCTGATTTCAGAACGTGCTATTCAAATTTGTTATATAACAATAATATAGAAACATTTAGGGGAGAGGTGGGTAGGACACACAAGCTTAAGAAAAAGGAAAAACAATACTTTTTTTTCTCGCGATTGTTCCAGGAATGATTTTAAGCTTGGAAATATAGTTTTTCTGCGCCCTAAGGTGTCGTAAAATCTTCACTTACTACTTTCCTCTTTTTTTATTTTGGTATTCTGTCTTTTTCACCTGGGTAGAGTACGTGGCTTACAAAGAGCGTGACTAAATTTCACGCTGCCGGAACTGGCTTTAAAGTTTGTTATGAAACTTTATTAACAAGCAAGCTGTGGTCTCCCTAAGTCGAAATGTTTGCTCGAAATTTTCTTTAAACGATAATTCGCATTTATTGGTGAGTTTTGACTCGATTCTTTCTCAAATGGGCAAGTGATAATTCTCAGTCGCTTTTAAGTGTAAAAGACGAGAATTTTTCCACGCGTTATCAACGAAATAAACGACATCAAGAAGGAAGACGATCAAAATGTCGGACAAGACATCAAGCGATGGTCGAACCCTAGAAGACACTCTACTGTCGTATTTTGATGTTTTCCACAGTAGGAACATGGTATGCCGAGATCTTCTATTTCCTCTTGTCGATGTGCTGATGGACTACGAAGCTCACAATATTAGGAAAGAACTCGACACGTGGATAAAACAGATCAAATCATCAGCTAGAAGAATATTTCATTGTCCGTGGTGTTCATGTTTGTTTGAAAATCCCGTCACTCTAACATGTGGTCATACTGTTTGTCAGGAATGCCTCCGAAGAAAATCGGAGTTGATCGGTGGAGACAGTTCGGAGAGGTCGTTAAATTTCTGCCTTCTCTGTGGAAATAATTTATTCAATGAGGGAAGTCGGTCAGTGAATAGTATCTTGTCCGATATAATTAGAAAACTGTTCCCCGACGGAGGGATAAGCGCGGAAGCAAAGAAGCTTGGCCAAAGTCAGTTACTTTCACAATGTGCGAAGAAAGCAGTGGAAACGTTTTCAGTCGCTCTCCACTCGAGACCAAAAGATTATGAGTGCCTCTGTCTGCGGAGTGATGCCTACTTGAAATTAAAGCTGTACTATTTAGCACTTAGAGATGCTAGCAGTGCTTGCCAGTTACGACCAGATTTGCCAGATGCTTTTCACAGAAAAGCGAAAATTTTAACCGAAATAAAATCATTGGACGATGCAGTCTTGCAGTTTCTTCGCTGTGCTGCCCTGAATCCAACCATGCCTCGTCGCGACGAGTTAACTGAAAGTTTATTTAGACTGTTTACCTCAGTAACTTTGTCGAAACTTGAGGAAAAGGTTGCTGCTAGAAATATTGCAAGTAACACTGCTGCAGATGAACTTCAAGAAGTAAAATCAGAAACGGACATCACTGAAAGCTCGAGTTCCTCAGAGGAAGAAAGCAGCGATGACCAAGGGGTTGCTCAAAAAAGCTGCGAGGAGATTATCGTTATCGAAGTAACTGAGTTACAGTGCCTCATTTGTGGACATTTACTTTTTTACCCTGTGACAGTCCAGTGTGGTCACACCTTTTGCAAGGAGTGCATCAAGGAAAGTCTTGAGTATGCACCTAAGTGTCCAAGCTGTGGAACAATCTTGACTGATTCAAAAACCAATAACTGGAATTTAACCTTGGTTTTGGATGAATTGCTGAGAATTTATCTAGAGAAGCCATACCGTGAGAGAGAACAATCTCACTCAAAGGAAATGAAGATGTGGACAAGGTAAGATTACTGAGGTCATCACTTTTTTTTTCCTTTGGGGTGGGGTGGAGGGGGGGTGGGAAATAATAAAAAGAATACCCGTCACGCTGTCTGACCTCCAAAATATAATTGTTGAGTGAATAGACAATCAACACTGACATTTGAATAGAAATTGCACATGCCTACTTTTCCAGAGTCCACATTCAGTCTCTTTCCGAACTGAGGCTCACCTGTCGATTTTCCCTCTCTGTTTTTGGCCCGACCGACCGACACACTCTCTCGAAAGGGAAAGCGGTGACCTTACGCTCAAATAATTACAATTAGCACTTCATGTGTCAGTTGATAGTTACTTTATTAAGAACTTCAAAGCCAAGGGGGGTCGTATATCATTGGCATGTTTACTTTCCCTTAACTGTCTCTGGATCCGGTTCAGTAGCTCGGATCGTGCTCCACCGATTCTCAGAAGCCTTTGTGCCAAACTTTTGTTTCTGGTGACCATTGTTTATTTTGTGCAACTTAAAGGGTGTCTGTGTTCCTTCAGTGAACCTAAGTGCCCTATGACAACCGACATTTTGTGTTTATGTACCATTTTCTCTTGGATACTCTAATGTACCATTTCAGGTTTTTCATTATCTTTTCAGGTCCGGAAATTTAATGCCGGTTATTTTACTCATAACAGGAGTTTGTTTATAACTCCAGCAAATATTATCCTCTTTGTTTTGGGCGTCAATCAAACCTCCTGTTCGTCAACCTTGAAATGTTGTGTAGTCTGCCCTGAGAAAGCTCACTGATCGCCTGTCTCAAATAAAATCAGTGGATCTTTACCGTTCGCTTGACATTTCTATGCCAGATTTCTTAGAGACCATTTCATCAAAGTTGGCAGGGATGAGTGAGTAAAGGGGTTTTTGTCGCGGTACAAAGTTCCGCTTGCTTTGCACGTACCAATATCCCATGTTATCGTAGGTTGGGTTTTTAAATCAATTCCTGATGAAGACTTATAATTTCATTCTTCAAGGAAAAAAAAGGTATTTGATATTCGATGAATACTTAAGAATCTCAATGATTTTAGCGTAACGGGCCTTACGCTAAAATGTGTCTCGCGGTAGTGCTGAAGTTATTTTCTCCAAGAAACCCTCGAAAGCAAGATTAGAAAAACGTCTCGTAAGATTATGGCGGTATTTATTATCGGACTAGATCAATGTGATAGCAGTGATTGGCATTTTTGCTTGCCCTTATTTCGCCTCTCCTCGAAGGAGTTCTTTTCATTTGGTAAGCTTTATAAAGTTCACTTGATTATAGACATTCAAATTACTTCATTTTTTTTTCTTTTCAGGGTAGGTATTGATCAGAATGTAGAGGTGCCAATACTGGTTTGTACCATAGTAATTCCACAGGGGAGAATACGTCTTACGCTGTCTCATCCCTCCCACCGAGTCATGGTGCGGCGTTCTGTTGAATGGGGTTCCCGAATGTTTGGAATATGTTTGCCTGACGAGGAGAAAGGCTTCACCGATCATGGAACAATAGTCGAGATACAGGCTACCGAAAGCTTCCCAACCGGAAAGTTGGTGGTACAAGCAATTCCCAAACAACGATTCCGTGTTGTTACGAGAAATATTTCGGATGGTTGCCCCAAAGCTAAAGTGGAATGGTTGGAAGACGCAAGAATCGATGACTACCATGCGGTACTGCATTTGAAATGGCGCAACTCGTTAAGCCATTACATGCTGAAGAGATGGCTGGCTGCATTACCTCATGACGAGAAAGTTTGCCTTGAGAGCTCTTTAGGACCTATTCCCCCATCCGATAGTCATTTGCTTCTATCACCAAATGGTTCCCCCTGGCTGTGGTGGTCCTTGGCAGCAATACCAATTTCAGCGCAAGAGAAACTAAGGATACTGCTTATGCCTCGCGTAGCTGACAGATTACAAAGTATTCAAGACCATCTCGAAGCCTTGCTGAAATCGAACAACGATCGGGATGGAAGAAATGTGACGGAAGAATCTACCGATGGTTGTCACGCCTTGACCATTTGAGATTCGTCCTTTCAACAAAATACTGTCATCTGAGAGTCTGAGGCAGAGGGGAAAAAATAGCAAGAGCTTGAGATCATTATTTTTCGCGAAGCCCTGCATTTGTCTACTCACTCACTTTTGTGTCCGTTTGTTAGAAACATGAAATTGTTTTGAGAAAAACCCTATCGAGGATTATTCGTCGTGGTCTAGTTTTTATCTTCAGTTTTCACTTATTTTAGTTTAAGTTAACTCGAGCAGAAAAACAGAAAAATAAATTGCAGACAAGGATAAATGAATATATATTTTAATGTAATACGACGATGCAGAGAATATGTCGCTTTCTATGTTAATCGTTGAATTCGCATTGTGAGGTCGCGAACGCGTTTCGTGATAGTTTTTTTCTTGTTTGTTTGGCTTTCTTTGTGTGCGGTTGTTTCTCTCTGTGGGATCAGTGAGTCCGGAAGTTTATCCACACATGGTCACGAGTAAAAAACATGCTTGTATGTGCATTTTAAAACAAACACAGAGTGACTGTGCAGCCATCATCAACTTAAAAACTGTTTGAAGAGCGTTAGCCGTGGCCTGAAGCAGTGACAGAACAGATGATTTCTATTAATTATTTTGATATATAATTGGACCTGTTATATTATAACTATAAAATTTCAGGCAAGTATTTATGAATAAAAAGTAAAATGGGAATTACATGGTGAAGTTCTGGAACGTATCTTATGTAAACCAAGTGTCGCGAGATAATTTATCGAAAGAGCTGCAAAGGACAGAACCCTCTTTACATGGTCCAAACCGTGAAAATAATCTCACGAAACCTTACTGGCATTTTTAAGCAGATTTCTATCTCAAATTGCAAGAGCATACACCGAACGAAAGGGGAAAAGAATTCGACACCAGCGCCTTCATTAAATTTATTGTTATTTTAGGATCCTATGTCGTAATGATTAACTACATTTTCAAAGTAAGACCTTCCAGGTCAGACTCTCCTCCCTCCCCTCCCATCCTCTTCCCCAACACTCACACACTTACACACACACCACCTTGCTTAGCCTTGCATTATAAATTTAGCAATAACACTACAAAAATTGTTACAACGTATCTCTTCGGAGGGTTGAGCCCCTTTCAAACACAATTGTTAATTAAGTGGGCATGGAGTCTCGAGGCTAATCTGTTCTCTTTCAACAAAGTGCAACGCCTTTTAAATTCTTTTCCCTTTTTACCCTGTTTAGTGTGGTAATCAGGTAATGAACCTACTTGAGGTACAGATACAACTTCTGAAGCGACTCTTCAAATCCCGCCATCACTGACCCGTTGAGATCGGAAGTCTTACACAACCTTCCAAGGGATACGCATATAGTAAATTCTCTTTAGAGTAAGTGACAGATTGTGGCGAAGATGTTGTTGCAGTCGTTTCCATCTCTACGAAACAAAATGCCGGGATCTCTTGCCAGTAACTTTCTTATAATCCAAATCTGACAGCGGAGATTCCACAAGAGCGTCACGAGTAATCCCATGATCACTAGCAACCGAGTCGTTTTCGTCAATTTCCCGCTCTAAACTCGACATAGGGATGTCTTCGATCTCCCCAGGGATTGCCTCTTTAAGCAACGCCTTTTCTGTCTCTTCTTTCCCCAGCAAATCTCTGGCATCCCCTTGTTTAGCGTCGCTGTTGTCCCCTGATTCATTCTCTATATCACCGAGAGCACTGTGATTAATGGTGAAGTCGTCTTTCAGAGCATCACGGATAAAGTCCTCCACCAAACTTGTGTTATCACGGAATCGATTGATGTTGAATGGAATTTCGCTACGTTTTGAAACTAAAGTGTCAAACGAAACGTTATCGATGTCATCTCTGCCAGCCCCCTCTTCAGACTTCTTTGTCAACAAAAACCCTTTCACATCACGAATCAGAGAAAACAACTTCGTCTCAATCCTTGTGATTTCTTCCAGCTTTTGATGCAGTTTTCTTTTCAACTCGTCGTTATCAATAACATCTTTCGGAACGTCAGAGGTGGCAGTGCTGGGGTCTATATGGTTTGCGATCTCCTGCTTCACCACCTCGTCTATTAGTTCTTTAGCTGTTACAACATGAGTTTTGTGTGGCACGTGCGAAACTTTGGCATCAGCCGCCGCTTCTTCTTTCTTCTTATGAAGCTTCATCAAAGCTTCGTCAACCGCCTCACGGATTCCATCTTTATCTGAGTAACTATTCTCGACTTTTTCTTTCAGATCATCTGCCGACAGTAGCGTGTGTTCCTTGAAGGCATCCATTACAGGAAACGCCGCTCTCAAATGTGCGTCATCTTGTTTTACGTTTTCCTTCAGAAGATCACTTCCGAAGTTTGAATGAAAGAGATCACCTCCCAGTCCTAAATCAAGACCCAGTAAATCATCTAAAAAGAAGGGAAGGCATCAGTCCAAGGGCTAACACTCAAAACGTCTAAATTTACAATTGATCGTTTTCACTTTTACGTCTGTGAGAGCAGAACCTCTTGTGCAAGTCACCAAAATAAAACACACTTATTTGCCAGTAGCACGGAATATATGGTCACAAACTTATGATTACAAACCTCTTTTGGACGAGTCTGAAGACAAGTCTGCGTTTACAAGGACAGCAATTTCCAAAGCCAACCACAGAATCCATGCATAGCCCAATTTCATTATGTATCTTGTAAATGAAGAGTTAAAACATATCAAAAATTAGACTTCATTTTACCTCCGCTTGGGAAGGAATGTTAAAGGAAATAACAATTGTTTTGATTATTGTTTTCTATATGGTTTATATCGGGCAGAACTAAACCCTCCTGGCAATGTTTGAAAGTTAGATACCTCTTCTGTGTCTTCAAAATACCATCTACCACAGCAATTTCGTAGGATACTTTGAAATCAAGTCATAACAGAGTTCCAGGAAATTTTTCAGTTCACACTCCAGTTTTCATCTAATTCCTGACCGAGTTGTCCAAGATCAGGAGACAACAAAATTTGAGATGATCAAACATTTCCCTATCTTCTTACTAAAACATAATTTTATACAAAAACGTCGTTCATACCTTAATGAATAAAACTCTTTTTCTGCCACTAGATCATCGGATTTTTTAAACGGTGCTTCTTTCCTTTGGTTTTTCTTGCAAAATTTCAGTGATCACAGATTGCTTTAGGAGTTATTGTCAATGAATTAAACATCACATTTCTGGTGTTTGACTCTTATGGAGCGGGTACCAGTCATCCCCCATCTTGAATCTAACCCTACTGACATCGTCAGAAAAAAAACCTTTAGTAGGAATACTCAGAAATGGAAGGTTTTATCAAAGTTGAATCGTGCTCTGTTCATTATCCAAGTATTTAAATTCAGGGCGTTTGCAAGGTTTCTATTTGCCATCTACTTCAAAGGTGAAGATAATTTGAGAGTACTTTCAAATTGAGGCGTCAAACTTATTAAGATTTTGTGTCCAAATGCATCAACGTAATTTGCCTTTCTCCAATCAAATTGTGCGCTGGAGTATGAACAAAACCCCTGTTGTTAACACGTGACTTAAATGCTTTGGCTCAACATGTCTTGGACAGACTAAACAGGATAGAACCCGGTCCCCCGTCTTTAAACCTGTTTGGTGGTAATTTCTTTGAGAATAACTAAAAATAAAATAACGAACGGATAGCCATTTGTGTAAAAAAAGCTTAGTTCCAAAGATCCTATGGAATATAAAGGATCACCTTCAGTGTATCCTTCTTTAAAAAAAAAACCAGGAATAGTTTAACTCGCAACAAGGAGCCGCTTCAGATTATCTACTAATCAAAGCTGATGGATTACTTCCCGTATTTCCATTTCTTGTTAATATTGCTTCAAAACAAAGTGATAGAAGACCACAATGCACGCTTGCTTTTACAAACAAAAAATCCGATCGATTGTCGATTCTGTTACATTCCAAAGTGATTTCATGATACACTACAATCGGATACGCTTGCTTGGCTTTGATATTGTTTGTATAACTTAACTTCAATTAACACGAACCTTAGGAAAGCTTAAACATTCTCGATCAAAAATTGTTTGCGTCGCAGTCGCAGTCGCAGTCGCAGTCGTCGAACAAAAACAGAAAATGGCATCCTAAGGAACAATGTGAGCGCTGGAGTTTTTGGGGAAAAGTATGTCAAGTCGAAGATTCCATTACTGGAATTGGCAAGATATGAGGTACAACCGTAATTTGTCGCTATCTGTCTGATCACACATTTCTCTATTTTTATTACAATGTTTAAGTCTTAAGTGAAACTGGTTTTACTTTTCACTAGTGCGCCATTGGAAAGAAAATAAAATCTTGTAGTGACTTCACGATTACCCCTCTCTGGTGAACAAAATAAACTTGTACATAATCCTCTCCACGTAACTTGTTAAGCCTTGGCTTGTGCATTTGAGGCTTCTTTTTAAGCTTCAAGTGTCTGGTTAAGTTTCTTTCAGGACTGCATGATAATCTTAATTTTCTTCTAGTTGTAAGAAAGAGTCAGCTTAAGTTTTTCATAATAATTTCAAAACATTTGAACAATAAAAACCCAGTGATCCCTAAAATATTCCTTGAAAAGCCACTGAAGAGTTAGATTATTTGTCTCGAACACCATTAAAATGATTCAGTGTGCAGGTGACATCTTTGAGGCTCAAGAATCCTCAAACTTTTGTCTTCAGATAGGAACGGAGTTTGCTCTGTATCGCCCTCTATATTGGAATCTAGTCATGAAATGAACTCGTAAAATGACGATTTCTACTTATGACCCCTCGTATATTATTAGAATTTTGACGGTATTATTTCTTTATGCAGAGAAATGAGGACCACTACTGGAATCGCTATTATCTTGTTGCTTTTACAATTTTCTGCGGTACATTCTACGAGGAAATACGGAAGTAAGACGACTGACAACAACTCAGTGCAAACAGTTAAATATCAAGAACATAGAGACGTGTCTCTCCTTTATGGTGCTTCCAAAGATGCAGAAGACTCCGGGAAAACAATTGCAGACGGTAATAAAAGAAGCACCGATTTTTTCGATGGAAATTTCAAATTAAAGAGGAAAGTTAAAAAGCACCATTTTAAAGGTTCACGTGGGTTTCCTAAAAGACGCGTTGTTGATATGGGTCGCCTCTCTGGCACGAGGAAGAAAACTGTTCAGACCAATGACAATTTTAGAGAGTATCAGGAAAGAGAAAAAATGGTACCTAGCGTAAAAGAAAGTAAAATGGACGACAAGAAAAATTATGCACCCCGAAAAAGACATAAAATTCCACTCAAGACCATACGCCACAAAGAGACATCTACAAAGAAAAGAACTAAAGTCGAAGATGACCTAAGCGCGGAGCGACAAACTATTACAAAAACACTTGACTCTTTTGATGACATATCAGGGTCTTACAATAGAGGAATTGATATGGACGGCATGGATATCAAAGAAGTGAGCATGATCGACAACAACACTCTGTCAGACTATTTTCACGCTTTGAATGGAAATGCAAGTGAAGGTAATAAAAACAACAACTTCTACAATAACATGCCAGAGTACGCGTCGACGCCTACACCAGCTTCAACATGGGATGAAGGTTCCCCCTCAAACACAGAGGAAAATAGTGGTAGTGACGATTTCTATGACGCCATTGATCGTGGAGACAAGCCTCCTCCGCTAAAAATGAAAAAGGTTCGTCCTACAAAGTCCAACTTTGACACGTTAATGCACAAGTCAAGCAAACATGTGGGGTCCTCGCCGACAAATCCAGGAACAGGGTCTTCGTCTAAATTTCGTTTACCCTCTCAAGAGGATTTCGAAAATTTTTTTCGTGGAATGCTCGATCATTTTGGCCATGGACGAAACCCTGACCAGTCTGTACAACAGAGTGAAAGTAAGATGGATGAACACGAAAGGTTGGCCAGCCAAAGGAACATTTCAAATTTTTTAGAGGCTCTTAATGAGCATCGTCCAGGAAACGTAACTAAAGTGGTATCACTAGGAAGCCCTGAGGAAGTGGAGGTTGGACGACAATCCCAAAACCATAATATGGATTTAACGTCCCACAAAAGTTCTCCTGTGTTTACCAGTGAACAGGTTGGGAGAGATGGAGAAGGATTAACGCCTTTCCTTCCGGCAGAAAACTCAATGAGATGGAGACAAGGGTCATTTGGAGACACGAGAATTCCTTTTCGTGGTCACGTAAAAGGGCCCGTAATCAAAGTTGGAAATCCCTTAACTTTCTTGCGCATACCTCCTCGAGATTCCGAAAAACACGTCGATCGCTTTTTTCCGAAGAAGCCGAATGGCGCTCTGCCTTGGAATCCACCTTATAAGGGAACTCGGATTATGGGAGGAAAAATATCCGGTGGTCAAATTTCTGGGGGACTAATTCAAGGGGGACAGATAAAAGCCGGGTCGGTAGAGGGTGGTATCATTAAAGGGGGTCAGATTGTCGGAGGAAGAATAGCTAATGGAACTATGGAGGGCGGGGTAATTGCAAAAGGGCAAATGTTAGGAGGGCACTTGGTGAATGGTAGACTTGAAGGAGGAAAGCTTCTCGGTGGCGATGTATTTGGAGGAAGGATATTAGGAGGAACTGTAGAAGGCGGGGAAATGAAGGGTGGAGTGGTGGCCGGTGGGCGTTTTCGTGGAGGACGCATGCAGGGTGGACTGCTTAGAGGAGGTGAGGTACAAAGCGGAACTTTGAGGGGTGGAAAAGTTGAAGGTGGAGTTCTTCATGGAGGAAATGTTGAGGGAGGTGAGTTCAAATTTGGAGATATATCTGGAGGGACTCTGAAGTCTGGGGCGATGCTCGGTGGACAGCTCAAAAATGGAAGTATAGAGGGAGGAACTCTTAAAGGAGGAACAATAGAAGGAGGTGTGTTGAAAGGTGGAGTCATGGAAGGTGGACGGCTGAAGGGAGGGCTTGTCCTTGCTGGTAAAATTAAGGGTGGGGTTATCGAGGGAGGAATAATTGAAGGTGGCGAGATTGGAGATGGGGTCGTGATAAGGAATGGTAAAGTTAACGCCACGATCATAGGTACAGGGAGCACCATTGATAAGAATCAGGAACTCAGTGGTATATTTCAACAAGGAGAAAATCCGCAGCAGCTAGGACTCGAAGTTGACCAGCCAAAATTTCATCATCATCAAAATAGCAAGACATCACATGCATTAAAAGCCATGTCAGACTCGCCAACCAGTCCTCAAGGGTCTGCCCCTACACCAGAGCCCAACCTTGAACAAAAGGCAACCAATCCAAGTACGGATATCAAAGTACCTTTACAGGAAGGAACTCTCAAAATGTTACCCCAAGAAAATGATCAATCGGATGATAGTAGTCTTGAAAAGTTGTTATCTGAAGGAAAGTCCGACGGTGATAATTTAGTTACTCCTGAACTTTCGTCACAGCGGTTCTTTGAAGAACAGGATCAACCCAGTCGAGCTGTTCAAAAAAAAAATTCCAAACAACATCACGTTGTTTTTGACGGGGTCGGCTTTGATCTTCCTAATGAAGATTTTGTAGATCTCATCGATAAAATGAAGGAAGGGCCACAATCGGTAGAGGACCTGGTCAATTATTATACAAAGCCAAAAAGGAAGGAAAACTCACATATCGGGGGTATATTAGAAGAAAAAAATGTGCACATTAAGCCAGAGGAACTCGAAGCTAGACTTAGCAGTCCTACAAAACCGAGATCCAGTGTTACTCACTCCGACAAAGATAAACACCAAAGCCATGGCGGTACAGATGCTCCAAGTTCAAAATTTTCAAAACCTAACGATGAAAAAATAAAGGCCGTGAGCTTCAATACCAAGGATGCCGAGAAATGTAAGTGATTCAAGTAATTCATTTTAATGCGTTATTCATGACTTCGAAACTTTCCTTACTAACGGACCTAAGAATTGGAAATAAGAAATAGAGAATTGAAAGACAAGAAACAAGTCATCGGGACTTCTTGATTGTAATCGAAAGCCTTGTACAACCCAACGTCTGATAATCAAAAAGGGGGGTACCGATTGAGGTGAGCCAGGTCTCGTTTAAGAGCAATGCATCAACGGAGCAATGCATGCATGCTTTCTAAATACAACATTCGAGATTCTCAAAACTAAAGCCAACAGAAGACCCTGAGAATTATCACAGTAATCAATGGAACAAACATGAGACAACTAAGCATTTTCTTACAGTAAGGCCAACTTATCACTGGTCCCTAAACAAGCTCATGGGAGATCGGATACCTGGCAGTCCAGGACCAGCCATACGAACACACGGAGAGATGGTAGCTATACGAGGAGGGCTGCATCTGAATGGTCATAATGCATGGCTGGGGGCTGGCGACTTCTCTGGTGGATGTATCAGCGGTATGATGGCATTAGTTTTTAGTTGAGGCTTTTGT